ACCATGAAACCCAGCTCAACTCCTTTAACGAACCGCTTCTCTCTCTCTCTCTCTCTCTTTTTTAATGTAACTTTATTTGCTTTAATTTAACCGGAGAGGAACAGAGAGAGAGATAAAGTGAGAAAGCAAGCCTCCAGGTCCGGGACTTGAACCACAGTCGGCCATGTGGGAGTCCAGCACTCTTAACCACCATGCCACCTGCCAGTCCCCGACAAACTGCTTCTCTTTATCTAATGGCCAAAGAACTTGGGTTGGGATGAGTGGAGAAATGGAAATAAGCCTTAAGAATGTAGAGGTTCATTACATCTCAAGGAAGAAAATAAATACGATTTCTGAACCGACCCCTTAGCCTAGTGGTTAAGGGAAGCCAGATCCCACAAGGCCAACTGTGGTTCAACTCCTGGTCCCTGTGGCTTGAAAACTATGCTGAGCATATGTGTATGCATGCCCCAAATTCCAACAGGAGAGAGAGAGAGATAAGGGACTGAGGCACAAGCATTCTCCACAGAAACTATTTTCTCCTTCTTCCCCCTTTCTCTCTATGGCAAATGCATGTGTCCTCTGGCAGTTAAAAATGAAAAAGAGGGACCATCAGATGGCATAATGGTTACATCACTGATCCCACATAGTGACTGTGGTTCGAGTCTTGGGCCTGGCAGCTTAAAACTCATACCGGGTGCATGTGTGTGTGTGTGCCCAAAATCCTGAGAGAATAGAAGAAAAGGGATTGTGGCATGGCCATCCCTTCTGGGAGAGATTTCTCGTCTTCTATCTCTCTCTCTCCCTCCCCAGTAAGTGCACAAAGTGCATATACTCTATAGCAAAAATCTCTCTAAAAAAAAAAGAAAAAAAAGAAAAAAAAAAAAAGAACAAGAATTCTCCATAGATAAAGAGGAATTTATTCATGCTTGGGCACAGAATAGGACAAGGACAGATGCTGAATATTTTTCTCTGAAAATCTAAGAGAAGGCTTCTGTTTTCTGATTGAAGACTTTCAGGAAGTCCTGCCAGGAAAGCAATGGAGTCTCGACCTCCTTCAGAGACTCCTCTTCTTTCCCAATTATGGTTTAGATGCCCTTTACACCCTTTAGTTTAGTTTTGTTTTGCTATGAGTGCATGTGCTCACTGGAGAGAGACAAAACAGGTATACAGAGAGAGAAGTCATCCCCCCAGGAGGGATGGTCATGCTGCAATCTCTTCTCTTCCATTCTCCTCTGGAGCTTTTGGGCATATATACACATGCACTTGTGCCAGCCATGTTTTTCAAGTCGCAGGTCTGGGACTCCCAATTACATAGTTGGCCATGTGGGAATCCAGCTCTCTTAGCCATCCTATGTACAACTGGTGCTATGTCTTAGGGTGAATTCTAGGAAACATTCATATCACTGCCTGACAGCAGGATGGTAACCTCTCCCAAGGAGGCAGAGCCCAATCCATGATGTCAGGTCAATCTCTAACAAGTTTAGAAATGATGGACAGGACCCTACATCTTCCTTGAGGGAGAAGCCGAAGCCTTCTGACCGTGTGAGCACTTACACTCTAGCTTATCCTGAGGTCTTCCCGTCTCCAACAGGGACAGGTAACACACGACGTCCTTCAAGTACACCGTGGGGGATTCTGAACGTGAACACTGGGCAGCAGGGGCTCCCAGGGGGATCGCAGCCTCTTGGACTGTAGCTGATGCTTTCTTCTTGGCCATCTTCGATTCTGTAATAGGCAAAAGGAAACAGTGAAGGAAGCTTAGTGTTAAGCAAATATTAAACCTCATTTCTTGCTCTGTCCTTTTCAAGATGGAGGCAAGAATCTTACATAGATATCTTTGAAAGATATGATCAAATCAGCAGCTCTATAAATCTGGTTTGTGGAATACTTAGTTTCTGAATGTACCCCTTTCTGACCTTTTGAAGAGTTTATTTCTGGACCAACAGTTGGCATAGTAGCCAACTGTAGTTCAAGTCCTGGACCCAGTGGCTTGAAACTCAAGCTGGGCATGTGTGTGTGCATGCCCCAAATCCTGAGAGGAGAATGGAGGAGAAGGGACTGCAGCGTGGCCATCCCACCATCCCCGGGGAGTGATTTCTTGCTTCCTGTCTCTCTGTTTCTCTCTGTCTCTGTGAGCACATACACTGCACTTTATAGCAAAACTCTCTCTCTTAAAGAAAAAGAAAGTAAAAAGATTTATTTCCTTATAGTAAATTCATCTATACTCTCTGAATTTCCAGAAAAAAATGATAATAATTTTTTAAAATTTTTTTATTTTAAATTTATTTACATTCATTCATTGTTCATCATCACAGTATACAAAATGAAAATTTCCATCCAGAATACATTGTACATTGGCTCAATCAAGGAAGCCAGAGGAAGAAAGAGAGGCTGGTCGTTTCTTTTTTTCTTTTCTTTTCTTTTTTTTTTTTTTTTTTGTTGGGGGGGAGACTTTTGCTATAGGGTGTATGCACTCATCAGAAAGTCAGAGAAACAGAAAGTGAGAAATCATCCCCCCAGGGGGTATGGCCATGCTGTAATCCCTTCTCCTCCATTCTCCTTTTGGGATCTTGGACATGCACACACATGCGCCCAATGTGAGTTTAAGCCACCAGGTTCGCGACTTGAACCATGGTCGACTACATGGAAGACCAGCGACATAGCCATTACACCAACTGCTGGTCCCATTTTTTGTTTCCTATATATTTTGTTCCCCCCATTCCCTATCTCTCACGTCTGCCATTTCCCACCCTTAGATACACTGTCTCTGGTGTCTGCACTTGCTTTCCATACCCTCCTCCCTTTTTTTCACATATTGATTGACTAAAGATCTTAATTAATCGAAATACATTCAATTGCAAGTGCAGCTGATATATACACATATCTGACTTTAGGCGTAAACCTCAGTGAGTAGAATGAATGTAATATAAAGTATACCTAGTTGGGACTATAGAGCTCACTGCAGTCATTAAATATTTTTTTGAACTTTTTTTCTGAAACATTTTTTAAATTAACTAATTGATTTATACTCATTCCCTGCGCATCATCACAGCATACAAAATATGATTTCCCATCCAGAATATAATGCATAGTGGCTCAATCATAAAGTTTATCATTGATAATTTTCCATTTCTAGTTTCATAAATATATAAATATGTATATATATATATATATATATATCTTTTACCCCTATTTCTCACCCCCCTGCCTTTCTCATGCTTCTCCCATGCTATCATAGGTGTCTACAGTTGTTTTCCATTCCTTTTCTCCCCCACATTTTATTGATTCACAAAATTTCTTAAATAATCTAACTGCTTTCAACAGCAAGTTCAGCTGGTATATACATATCAGTGAATACATGTCTGACTTTAGGTGTGAAACTCTGAGTAGAATGAATATACTATAAGGTAGCACCTAGCTGATGCTATATAGCTTACTACGGTCATTAAGTAGGTATTTTTGAATATATTTCTTAATTTCAAGAAAAGTTGTTTTGAGAACCAGCAGTTAGCGTAATGGCTATGTCACTGGACTATCACGTAGTCGACCGCGGTTCGCGTCCTGGACCCGGTGGCTTAAAACTCACGCCGGGCACGTGTGCGTGCGTGCCCAAGATCCCAAGAGGAGAATGGAGGAGAAGGGATTGCGGCATGACCATCCCCTAAAAAAAAAAAAGGAAAAGAAAAGTTGTTTTAGCTTTAGCTTTAATAAATCAAAGAAATGCTAAGGAAATTTGCTTAAAACTTAAAGCCAGGAAACAGGTTAGGATTCTGTTCAAATAGTAGGTACATGAACCTATCAGCAGCTCAAGACAGGATAAAAATCCTTAAAACTGGAAAACAAAGCCTAGGAAAAAAGTAGCAATGTTTTAGTCAAAAATCATAACTATTTCACCAGTTCAGTCTCATGTACTTAATCTATCTTCTATTGTGGTTTGATCTTCCCAATTAAATTCTGGGACATAAAATTCAACTCCAGACTTGTCCCTACGATTAAGTTGGCCCTTTGCTTAGCTTTTGAACTCTTATTTCTGTGTGTCTGTATTTAACTTTTCTGATATAGCACTCCCTTGAGAACTGGTCTGGTGTTGGTAAATTGTGGCATCTTGGAGATCTGGTCTGGTGCTGATAAATTCTTTCAGGTTTTGTTTATCTGAGAATGTTCTTCTCTTTTCTTCCTGCATGAAGGATAATCTTGCCAGATACAGTATTCTTGGTTGAAATTGCTTTTCCATTAACATTTTGAATACATTTTCCCATTCTTTCCTTGCTCACATTGTTTCTGATGAGAGGTCTGCTGTTAGCCTGATTGCTGGGGACCAGCCTCGGCGTGGGTGGGTTATCTAGACGAAGGCAGCGAAGGTGAACAGAAGATAAAGGCCTCGATGCCTTTTCATGCACGTCCTTTGCCGGACACCCCTCAAAGATTGCTCTCTGAGGAGTGACAACTGCTAGGAATCATAGTGTGTTTTTATTGAAAATGTGTTACATGCAAGTAA